AAAAAAAAAAAATTATGAAATCATTGATTCAAAGGAATCAATAATAAATATTTGCTTTCCTCTGAGCTGTTCAGACACAGTACAAGTACACCAATTATAGCAGGTAGAAGAGATGGAAGCTTAGTTCAGCTGCTGAGAAATAAAAGAAAGCTACATAACATGGTCTGCATTTAATCACACAAGTAATAACTGGTATATGACAGTAAATGCTTTAATACACTATTTTACAAAGAGTTTGGCTTATGGTTCATTTGCTTCCCTTGTGCAACTCCTGAAAATAGAATATACCTTTGGAATGATCTCTTTCTCCTGTTCCCTTTGAGTAAGGAATTTTCCCCCTGGGTTTCCTGCTGGCAGCACTGACTTTGTGTTCCCCTGGGAGATCACTGATGTGGGGGCTGGGAAGCACCTCAGTGTTTCAGATTTAGTTATTTTAAATCCTTGGGGTGCCCACGTTTCCCAAGCAGGAATACCTGGACAGCAGGTACCTGAACTGCTTCCCAGCAGGGCTTGGAACAGCCAGGAATGATCACACACTCCAGGCTTCAGCGATTCCTCCAACTGACCTTCACCAAAAGGCCCATAAACCTTTCAGCCCCTGCAGCCACACTGATGCCTCACTGGGCAAAGAGTGACTTCTCTGCTCCAGGAGGGTTGGGACACCAGGAGAAGGTTGCCACAGCTGATCTGTCCTGCAGCTAATTCCCAAAGGCCTCCAGAAACTCTACCAGGAGCAGGCTGGAGCATTCTCCGAGCCTCCAGGCTGCAGACAGAGGATCCTCCTCCCTAATAATTACAAGTCTGGCCTGTGACTCAAAGCCAACCCACAGCCCTCGGTTCCCAGGCTGGAACCAGCTGAGCTGTTGGAATTGTCACCCCAAGTTTGTGGTGAGGAGCTCCTGGTTGCACAGAAGAAGCCCCAAACTGCTTCAGCCATCCTATTCCTGCTCCTGGGGTTTCCCCAGCTCTGGGGTGGCTTCAGGGCTCAGGAAAAGAGCAACTGCAGAGGAATCACAGGCACTTACAGCTGCTGCTGCAAACAGCTGATCAGGAATGTGCTCCTGGAGCATCCAGGGCATCTCTCTGGGTAAATGAGAGAGTATCCAACACCAGGAGCTGCCCTGGAAGCAGCAGCTTCTCAAACACCTCCTACCTGTGACTCAGGATTGTCTTTTGTGCACAACATCAGCCAAGGGTTGACTTGGGTAGAGAAAGCAAGTGAAATTTTGGTACATCTGATGAAAATGGGTGGCTGCTCCTAGGAAAAGGAGTTCTCACACAGTACAGGGCAAGTTTGAAATCTATTTCCCATATGGAAGCAGCCCAAGCAGGGCTTGGCTTTGATCAGGTTGTTTAAGATCTCAAGTGAGTGTCATGGTTAGACAAGTTATAATTCTGGCTCTCAGTCAAAAAAAGAGATAAATTACAGTCCTGGAGTGAAAGAATTATAGGTCTGTGGTTCTTCTGTGTAGGTCCATCTTCTATAGACTCATCCCACAAATTGGAGAAAACCTTCCCTCCCCTCAAATGGAAAAAAAAAAAAAAGTCCACCCTCTTTTTCTTTTAAACAGAAAATCATCAGTCCAGAAATACAGGAATCTAAAACCTACAAGCTCAGTGTCTTGTGTGTAGCAGTGGGCAGAGCCAAGTCCTTCAGAGGAAAATATAAATGACAGAACCCTGCATCTGTCTCCCATCCTTTCCTATTGGCCTTCAACTTGAAGTGCAAGACTTTATATCCCTTGCAAACAATTATTCTGGCTAATAACAAAAAATACTTTTTACAATTCTTGCAGGTTTTTAAGAATCTTGCTAAAGGTTTAAGCCTCACCTATAGCACGTGGCCCAGCATTTGGTGTAGGAACGGGACAATGCACACCAATATCTCCTAGTGGAAGCATCATCGTGCTTGTTTACCTGTCCCAGGTGTGTTTTCCTCCTGTCCTTCAGTCTTACCTGGAGGTCACCTCAAGAGTGCTGTTGGTTCAGTCTTGGGAAGAGCTCTCCATAAGGCTCCTACAGCACAGCTCACCCCAAAACTGGGGAATTCACCACCTGCCAACGACAAACACCTTCCAAATGCTTCATCCAGGCTTTTTGGTAGATTGGTGGCCCTCCCCTCCTGAGGAACTGCCTCCCTCCTGGATTCAGGGCCCAGCTCTCATCTCACTAAGGCTCATTTGCCACAGACACCACTCCAGAGGGGCTCCTGTGGCTTTGCAGTGCTGGCCATGAAAGCAGAGCAGGCTCCAGGCCGTGTCTCTGGGTGCATCAGTAAGTTTATTCTGGCAATTAAAGCACCTCTGTTTTCTTGACATAAAAGGTCCTTTCTCTTTAATACAGCGTTCAGTTCAGACGCTTGCCTTAATACTGCATCTCCTGACCTTTTGGAGTGATCCTTTCATTTCCACTTCAGTTCCAGCCTCCAAAACCATTTCACTGGGAGACTGAATGCAGAAAATGTGAAGCACCTTCAGTCCCCTTTGAGGCTGGACACCAGCCTGCCCTCAAAATCTTCAGATGAGACCATGCATCTTTGAGAAAATTCTCCAAAGCCAGTACCAGAGACTTCTCCCTCCCCACAAAACCTCTCTCTGGTATATTATGCACTTCTATGTCTCTGTTGATCCCTTTTAAAAAATCCTGAGGTTTGGTTTCTTTTCACCTGCACAGCGCTTTTGCTGTTGCAGTTTATAAATGCTTGATGTTCCATTTCCAAAAAAAAAAACCCCAAAACAAAACCAAAAAGAGATAATTTAAAAAGAAGCTCCCTTTTCCCTCAAACGGTTCCCCTTTTCTCCTCAAACGTATCTTTCTTCAAGAAAAGAAAATCCTGGATCAGAACCTCAGTGCTGGAAGATGGACGAGAGTTTTAAGTGGGAGGGCTTCTTTGTGGTGTGAATAATCACAAGTGATTAAAATTAAGCTGACCAGGAAGATAATTAGCTAATCTAACGACTCCTACGTGGCTGGTGGTGTGTGAGGTGTTTCTGGGCAGCAGGAGCCTGCCGAGGGTCACACGGTCTGGAACGCCCGGCTCTGGGCAGGCACCATCACCAGCGTGGCTCCCATCTTCATCAGGTTGTTGTAGTCGACCTTCTTTGGCTCCATCTCCTTCCCTTCCCTCTCCCTCTGGCTGTACTGGGGAGGGGTGAGGTGGGGGGTGGCTTCCGTGGACAAAGTCCGCTGGCTGCGGGAGGCACTGTTGGCTGTGGACCTGGTGGAGGAGGAACCTGAGCGGGAACTCCTGGAGCCAGAGGAGGAGGAGCTGGGCTTGACCAGATGGGCCTTGGGTGCCTCTGCATCTTCTCTGCAACCGAACAGATGACAGGGGCTCAAGCACCACGAGAGAGAGAACGGAACCACTTACTCATTTCACCACTGCAATAAGCAGTTGCTCCCTGGAGCTGCAAATCACCAGCAAAATCTCTCCAAGAATGTGTTTTCTGTTGTCTGCTTTCTGTTATCTGCTTTCTGAATTATGTGCTCTGTAACTTGGTGGACTGAACCCCTACAATTGCCCTGCTGAGCTGTTGGTCAGACGGGTTTGGAATAAAATACACGCAAATACCAAGTGTCGCTGCGAACAGCTCAGATAGAACTGTCTGCTCTGTAATCCTGACTCATAATGAGAAATGGCCCGGGCAAGACTAGCTGAAACCAGTTCTTCCACTTAAAATAACCCGTGGGTAGGGAAAGAAGTGCAAGAACTGGGTCCTGAGAGAGAGAGAGGATGTAACAGTCAGGCGTGAAAAGGTGATACAAGAGGGTGAGGCTCCAACTGAAAATTCATGCAAGATGTGAAAGCAAACAGGAAAAAGGGAAGGAATCAGCAGAGACTGCTTTCAGGCTGGCAGCCTGAGTGTGAGGCAGAGGAATCAGCTGCTGAGGGGATTACAGAGATGCCGAGTGGTGCAGAGATGTCATATGAGGGCAGTCATACAAATAGACACAAAGATGGATCAAGGCACGGGGGTTGTTTCTTCCAGGGCGGGAGCAGCTAAAACTCTTTCCTGGAAATAGATCTTTCCAGTGCTTTCCTTCCTGAGGAGTTTAAGGCTGTGGGTTGGCTGGAGACCAATCTCTGCTTAGGGGAGTTAAGGGGCAGGCCTGGAACAGATGAGCTCGAAGGACATGTGTCAGCATTGCTGCTCCCCTCACACACAGCTCAGGGATTGCTCACCCCTGCTAAATCCAGAGCACAGTTGTTCAAAAGACTCAAGGAAGACCGAGAGAACCTGCCTGTCTTGGAGTATTCCCCAAAAAACCCACTGCAATTGAAAAGGAGAAATAGAAGAAGGAGAAGGAAGAAGGAGAAAGAAGGAGAAAGAGAAAGAAAAATAAAGAAGGAGAAGGAGAAAGAAAGAAAGAAAAAGAAAGAAAGAACTAAATCCCCCCAAACCATCTCAGAGCCACAATGGACAAGTGGGTTGGATTTATCAGCATAAAAGATTATGTTTTTTTATCAGCATAAAAGATTATGCAAATGCTTTAAAATGCTGAAATTGCAAATGTGAGAGAGAATAGTTTGTTGAGTTTTAGGCTGATTCGCCCTGGGGGTGTGGGGGGGGGAAGTTTAATCTGATTTTCTGGAAAGTCTTCACAGAGGTTCTCGCAAGTGAAGAAATTTGTCAGTGCTATTTCCCAGAGACTTTAAAAGCTATTTAGAACAAACTTTGGCAACACTTACCTCTACTTACAGCTACTTAAATCTACAGCGAAGAGATGTGTGAAACTGCAAGGAGGCAGTGTGGGAGGTGGGGGATTAAGTGAAAGGCGTTACCTGATTTCATTTGGTGCCTCCTCTTCCTCATATCTCTTCTTTTCATTCCTCCTTATCGTCAGCCTCACCACCAGGAGGAGGAGGGAGAGTCCCACCACCACCCCACACGCTGCCCCGGCGATCATGCCGATATTTTGGGCATCTGTTGTCCAGAAAACAGACGTGTTAGTCGATAAATTCTCGCTGGAGTTGCGCGGTCAGGTCCTAATCCCCACTACAATTTACAGCACCGGGTATAAATCTGAACAGAACGTGTCAGGTTGTTTATTTAGGTGTGTCCCCACACAGAAGTTGAACCAGTTTATCTCCAGGCATTGTTGCTGAAGCTGAGCTGAGAAAAGCGATCGGTGGGATCACAAGTGCTGTGGGTCAGAGGCACCGAAAGCACAGACATGAGAAACCGAGCAGATTCCTGGAGGCACAAGAGTGTTTGAACTGTGAATGTTTCCCCCTTGAGGATTTCCTTTTTCCCCCTACTTCAACTTACCCTGAAATGATTACAACCCCTTTTCCAGAAGGAATTATTTAATCTCGAGGGGAAAAAGCGACCCGAGCTGGGATAGAGGGGAAGAAAGAGGCAGAAAGAAAGAGCATCCCGTGCGTGGAATTTTTTTTTCCCCCAAAAAACAGAAAAGATGAGACATTTCCCAGCGATTACGGGCCCTTGGTTGATACTTTATGACAACTTCTGGTCGGTTTAGGCTGGGCTTGGCTGAAAGTTTGTTCCCTTAAGGCTCGTCCCTACGGAGGGTTTAGCAAACCCGAGTGAGGTTTTAAACCAATTCAGTTCAATTGGTATAAAAGCTGCCTGGACGCTTTTACTTCAGGTGCCTGAGGCAAACCGGTTTTCCTTGCTGCATGACCATATTCCAGTTATTTCAGGCTTGGCCGGGCAGAAAAGTTCCAAAGCTGTGGAATCTCCAAGAAGAGACCCAGCCATTAGCGGTCTTTCATCACAGCAGTTCCAGCTCCTGCTGATCTCCTTTCAGAGCTGCTAAACTCTGTTGTTTGCATTTTCAGGTGCTCAACTCCGCCCTTTTCCTGGCATGAATATGCAAAGGACACTCCACCCTTGATGGGTTTTATCAGGTAGGACATAGATTTTAACTTCTGATGCTCAGGACAGAATTTATTAAATCTGGATTAAAACCAAAATGTCCTCAGTGTTGCTTTTTATCCCCCACACACTCCTTGTCGCAATCAGCCTTTCCAGCTGTCTTTAGATAGTTTAGTGCCCCGAGTGCAACAGATAAATAATTTGGAATTGAATTGATGGAGTATCCACAGAGAGAGTGGCAGAAGTACCTCAAAAGCTGCAGACTCTGGAACCTTTAACTCACAGTTTCCCCCCCTCCCCCTTTTTATTTCATTAGTCATTTTGAAAATCAACATTTCTAACAGACATCTGAGCCCAAATGCTGGTTTTGTCACTTTAGGTTGTGGGGGTTTTATCACTGTAGATTATACAAGAGGGGAGTTTGCTGTGCAAACCCTAACTGCAAAAAATAAGTATAAATAAGAACTATTCAATGGGATTAAAGTATAAAAGGGCAGAGGTGTGGCCCCACGTGTGTGAACCCCGGTTTGTACCAGTACTTACGCTGCACTGTCACCTGCACAGCACAGCTCTCCTGCCCAGCCTCGTTGGTGGCCACACACTGGTACAACCCTGTGCTCATCTGCGTGAGGTTCTTCAGCAGGACTTGCCCAGGATTAGAAATGTCTGAAACAGGAGAAAACACCGCTGGGATTAATCAAACAGGCTAAAAAACCTTAACCGTGGGTAGGACGCAGCAGCACAAGTTGAACTTCTGAATCAAATCAGTGCCAGGGCAACCCAGAGGTCAATAAAACACTGAACAAACTCCTGGTGCTCGGGGTGGAGCACCCCACAAGGTGCAGCTGCAGCAGTGAGAGGAGCTGTGGGATCATCCCTGTCACTGCCCCTGGGGGATCCCATTTTTAGAGCAGGCCCGTGACTGTCCACACGCACGGCCACGCGGGCGTTATCCGGCTCTGCACGCTCCCAGAACTGCCCCAGCTCACTCACTGAGTCTGCAGTTGAGGAAATGCCCCTCTGGAATTGAGGAAATGCCTGGACTTACTGACTCTGGAGTTGGGCGGGAGGTGCTCCACTCTGTCCTCCTCATTGATGCGCTGCCAGCGGTAGGAGATGGGCACGGTGCCCGAGGCAGAGCGGCACTGCAGGGACAGCTCCTTCCCTTCCAGCATCTCCCCCTCCAGCCAGCACTTGGGCTTGGAAGGTTTCTCTAGGAGGAGCAGAAGACAGGTCATGCAAACACAGCAAACTCCTCTCTTTGGCAAGAGTTGCCTTCCTGGAATGCGTTAAGGAATCACACCAGTCGTGGTTTTTAACGGGCTTAAGCTGCAATTGTGTGCATAGGAGTGAGTTTATAATATTCTTTGGAGCTCTACCACCACATCCCTCTTCTAGGCACTACTTAGAGACCATCCTTTCCCTCCTCCTACTTCCCCATTTCTTCCTTCTCCCCACAGTGTCTGTCAGGACACGGCACTTCCTCCGCGGGATAACGGTGTACGTGGAAAAGCCAACCTGTGAGCTGACTTCAGGGAAAGGAAATGCTGATTATGGCAGCTTATTTGTCACCTCCACTGGCTTGGGATCAGGTTGGGGTCCTGGGACGTGAACTCACAGCCCACAGCAGGGGATCTGGACAGGGTGGTCAGCCCGATTTGGGTGATGAGATCATAGGGATAATTTGGAAAGACCAGTTCATATGATGCTGTGGGTAATCACTTACCTCAAACCTGATCTGTGGCCTGTCCTTTGCCAAAAAAAAAAAAAAAATGCAAAGGCAAATCTGGAGTTGGACAGGGAAAACTGACTGTGAGATGTCTCTGAATCTCTCTCCAGGAAGTGAGTTTAGAATTACTTTTTTTTTTTTTTAGCAATAAAGTGTCCTTACCTACCACCTTGAGGGTGATTCGAGCCCATTCATACTGCCCAGCGTTTTTAACCTTGCAGATGTACTTCCCTGCATCGCTGGACTGCAGGGAGATGATCTGCAAGGAGGCATCTCCAGCCAGGAAGTTGGATGTGAAGGAAACGCGGCCTTTCTGCTCCTCGTTCAGGTCATCATAGACACGGCCCCCGGAGTAGGTGATCACCTGAGGGGCACAGACAGGCATTGACAGCCAGTTGGGATTGTACTTTCACACAGAACAGCAAATAAAGCCTTTCCAGGAACTCCAGACCAAGGTTCTGCCTGGTTAAGTGGCTTGCCAAGGGTCGCACAGGAAGCCTGTGGCAGGGTGGAAAATTAAACCTGGATTTCTAGTCTGAGAATGGTATACATAAAGTGTATTTATGCTAAAGATTTGTGTTGGAGCGTTTATACAACTGTCAAAATAGACAGCAGCTCATGTCACAATATATCAAAGCAGTCTGTAGGCTTGGCTGAGCTAATTTAAGTTACTGCAGACCTCATTTTTTTATAAGTACTGAACTACTGTATTTTTTCCCTGAAACCAAGGATTCAAAAACCGGGCCTGCAAGATCCAAGGTCGTCTTGGAAGACGTGCAGGGCCGTTCTGATCTTTAAACATAATCAATCACCCGTGGGTAAAGGAAACGTGATTGTAACAGAACCCGTGTGGACATCAAATCACTTTTATCCACCACAAATCTCTCTTAAGAATCAGCTGTGTTTTCCAAAGGTCAGCAGAGTAACCTGCAGGGATCATCGCGGGGGTGTTGTTGAACCAGTGGCTGGTGGTGTCAGGGCATAAATGAGCCGATTTCCTGGGCAAACCTACCGCCTTCTGCACGGTTTCCGAGACGTGCAGCAGCCACTCGATGTCCAGGCTGCCCTGCTCCAGCAGGCCCAGGCGGTGGTGACAGGGCAGCGTCACGTTCTCCTCGGCCACCCTCTTGAACTCAGTCTGAGCCTCGCACACCCAAACGGAGCAGGAAGCTGGAAAAACAGATGCCAGAGGTCACCAGAGGTTCAGGGTATACAGCCCTGCCCTGGGTTTGGGTGGATTCCTCCTCACTGGCTTCCCAGCATCCAAGAAAACCCAGCAGAGCTTGGCTCCCTGGGCAGATTGCAGCTGATTAAAGGGGACATTTCTACACAAACAGGCATTTTCACACTGCTGTTGGAGCAGGAAGAGCAGATGGTTTCACACTGCAGAGCTGTCAATACTGAAGTCACACCCACAGCCTCAGTGCACTCCAAATTTCAGATAAACCCCTCAGTTTTGCCTTCACCTCTTGTGACCTTAATTTATAAGCAGTAATTCCACCCCAAAATCCTTCAGAGCCCATCACTTTATCCCTGTGTCAGTCTGACAAGGCTTGGAGTCTCTTGCCTGATGATGCTGAGATAATAGCACAGAGTATATAAATAAAATAAATACAAAAAGTAAAATAAAATAAAAAATATTTATAAATTATTTTTATAAAAAATATTTTAAAAATATTTATAACCCAAATATATAAATATATAAGCATATAAATAAATGAAAGTATTTTAGCACTGGAAATAAAAGACCAGCCTGGGAGGAAGAGGGTTAAACCTAAGAAAAAGAGTGGTACAAGTAGGACAGGGAAGTGTCTTTGAACAGCAACGTCAGGGAAAAAATATAAGTTGTCGAAACCCGTTTGTCAGGATTTTAAACAGAACGAAAAAGGGGAGGAAAGTGCCAAGTGGACCCACTAGAGGGAAGCAGAGCCCTTTAAATATCAGCCAAAAATCCCAAAACCTGTGCTAAGGCCTTAAAACCTGGCCCAGGAGAGATGATAGCCCACAGAAAAATAGCATGTTCGGCCAGCACTGTGTTAGTTCGAGTTGCTGCACTGCATCCATGCTAAAACTGAATAAAAATCAGGGATCAGTGCTTGGCTTTGCCCATCTCCAGCTTCTGAACGTGGACACGCCATGGTAAGCTCAAACTCACTTCAAACTGACCCAAAAGGTCAGAGGTGTGGAAAATTATGGGCATTTGGGGTCAGGGGTCTCTCCGGTCTGCTCTGACACCCAAATATTTTCCAGCCAAGTTCCCATGGGGATTTCTAGGGCACAAATGCCATCTGCCTTTTGGGTATGAATCCTCACGGGGCAGTTGGGTTGTTCTTCAGTTTTGCTGTTCAAGGCAAAATCCTAAAAACATGTTTTGTTTTGGGTTTTTTTGCCTGTGAAAAGCGAGATTAAATATTTTGCTTTTTGAGCCAAATGTTGTGAAACTGGGAGAGTTCACAGCCCTGGGAAGTCACATGTGTTGACTGAACACACAAGCCAGAGCAGGAGCATGAGAAGTTCCAGTTACACAGGCTGAATTTGTTCCTGTACTTGTATTTAAATAGTGGATCCTCAACCTTCCCTTTACCTTGAAGCGAAAGATAGAGAGAAAAATGACATCCAACACGACACTTGCTCAGCTCTGTTCCTTTAGGAGCAACTGAGAAAATTCCTTTTGGAATTTAGAAAATTTAGAACTTCGCTTTTAGAAAATTCCTTCCTCTCCTGCTCCCATTCTCAGACCCGACCATCCCTCAGCTCCTAATTTATACTTCCCAAAACACTTTGTAAAAAGGTATCATCTCCTACGTGCACCTTTATAGAACACCTGGAATTGTAAGAAGAGGTGGAGCCTTGCAAAGGATTTAATCTCTCCTCCCTCCCCCCGCCCCTGCACTGATCCCGGCGTGAATTGATGACAGTGAAAGCTCCTTTTCAGCCACATTAGCTGCTTTCTTTAAAGGGAAAAGTAATCCCGTTCATCACTGGATTCGCTGCTCTCAGAGCTCCATCTGCCAAATACAATTACACGTCGTGCCCGGGACGGGCCCTGCTCTCCCCTCAGCTCCCTCTGCTGCCCTCATTAACGCCGGCCCTCGTTAGATGGTGGTCGATAACCTTAATTTAACCACACAATGGGGACCGTTCGCATCACATTTGCAGCGTTGTCGCAGCCCCGTGCCGGGGGGTTTGTGCAACACCGCATGGTAAAATTGGACTTTACGTTGAAAGTCTTGATTAGCGTTAAAAAAAATCACCGTTTGAGGGGGTGTAAGAAATGCCATTTTCAGTCCTTTCTAGCTTGGAGACACAGTGGTTTTAGGAGAGCCCACGGTCTCGTACTGCTCCCAGCAAGCATCCGTGGATGTGAGGAAGAGCCTTGTGCCTCTAAACTCATCCATTTAGAATGGGAGTTATCAGGGAAATAGTGACTACAGATTTCTAAAGCCTCCCCCTTTTCTTTTTTCTTTTTTTTTTTTCCTAAAAGTATCTGCAATCAGAATGTATTGGAGCCGTTTCATCACTGAACCAATAACCAGACTCATACACTCTGCATACTCTTCTACAGTATTATTTTTGAAAGTCTTATTAAAAACCCCCTGACTTGCCTCTTTAATTCTTATTAGTGCTGTAACAATGCCCACAAGCTCCCAAAGGAGTTTAAATTTTGCAGGTGTTCTAAACAAGACACTTTATTCTCTTCCCAGGCATCTAGAACTGTCCAGAATTAAAAGAAAGCTCAAAACGGCTTCATAAAAGTACCCAAAGAGGTGCCAGTTGCAGAAATTACCCACGAAAAATCCACGGAGAGCTCAAGGTGAACAATCCTGATGTTTTTCACGGTTTGGGGAGGGTCTCGCTGTAACAAGCAATGATGAAATGGAAATTTAACTTTAGACACATGCTGGAATTTCTCTTCTATACCTCGAAAAGAAAAAGTGGCTAGAAACATATTCTAGGTTATTAAAAGTGGTTTCTTATTCAAAGAAGAATAAATGCAGTCTGAAGCTGTGTCTGTGTAGACGAGACCTCGCAAGAACAGGTCGAAGAAATTTGGATGCTTTTAACTCAATCTCCCTCCTCCCCAGTTTAAATTTTATTTAAATGGTTACTAGAGGAGGGTGCCTGCTCAGGCACAGCCCCTTCCAGCAGCACTGGCCGGGACACAGGTGGATGGCAGAGGAATTTGCCCCTGAGAGTCCCCTTTCCGTGCTGGATGGTGCCCAAGGGGCTCCAAAGCCTTTCCTGAGGAAGCTCCACAGCCACGCGAGGGCAGAGCCCGCCCGGAGCCTGACTCGGGGCTGGCTGGGGCTCGCAGGAGATGAGACAACAATGGATGATGTTCCCAGAAATGCCACATGTTAAATGCAGGCTCCGCGGTTCTTACCCCACCCCCCAAAAAAACCACCCTCTTCCCCTTCCTGTGGGCAGCTCTTTGTGCTGCGAGCAGCAATTTGGGAAGCGATTCCTCCAGCTTGACTCAGCCCCCTGTCCCACCACTCGGGAGGGAGGTGGGATTGTTTCCCCTGCTTGTTCCGGCTGCAGCATTTTGGAAGACTAAAGAAAATAAATAAATAAAGAAAGAAAGAGCCTCGTGTGCAGCGCCAGGCTTGGTGCCACGCCACGGGAGAGCATGTTCAGTATTTTAGGGGGGAGACTTCGCCTTGTTTGACTGTTCCCTCTATTGTTCAGAGCACGACGACTCACCGACACCCCGCAGACAAGGACAAAAGCCCTCTCACCCCTCACCGCTGCTCAAATCCCCAAGGAACACGGAGCAACAAAGATTTTAAACAAGCCCAAAGGCAGCACAGGCAGTGCCCACACAGGTTTGCCTTGGGGGAGGACACAGAAAAGGGGATTTCAGCCCTCTCAGACCCTTCTGCCTCACACGCACAGCAGATTTTGAAGTGAAATAAATAATAAATAAATAAATAAATAAATAAATAAATAAATAAATAAATAAAAGACGTGGGCAACAGCCTGCATCTCTCTCGTGGAAAGATGTCAGCCCGAAAGTATTTCCCAGAACTCGTTTCAACATTTTGCAAGGACTACTGATTTCAGAACTGTATTTTGAGGGAGTTTGAATTTCAGCAGAGTCAGCCCTTTGAAAGGGATGTGGAGGGAAGGGGCTGTGTCCTGTACAATACTGAGTAAACTGGGACTGTGTATTTGGCCTTATCACAAATGATCACCATCCAAAGTAGTGATTTCATGCCCGAATCCAGGCCCTGCTCACACTTACTCTAGTATACATGAAGATCACTTTATTTCCATGCCCATCCAACAACAAGTACATGTCTGTACACAAACACACCAGCATCAAATATACATTAACAGACAAGCAGAATGAAAGTGGAAATAACTGTTTTGCTGACATTTTTATCTGTAGGCAAATTCACATCCTAAAAGCTGAAGAGCTTCCAGATTTAAATCTTTCATCAGGTTCAGAAGGTTTGGATTAGGCAGCAGTGCCAAAAATAGATTAGACTTTTTAAAAAAAGTAATAAATTGTGCTGTGTGACTTAACTGCTGGAATTAGGAGGAACAGCCTGGGCAAGATTCAGAGAATCAAGATACAAGAAATGCATAATCATCCTTTGTAAACTCAGCCCAAACCATACCTACGTTTGGGGTATGAATATCCAAAACGGGTCTTGGAAAGTTTCAGCCACTCCAGCGAATTTTATTCTTCGGCTACACTTTTACTCCAATTTATCTTGGCTTTTTATCAAGGATGACATTTGCAGCAGGCTATTCCAAGACACTGATGTCCGAGGAGGAGTAGAAATAAAACCTGCAATTTTGCTGCAACTTGAGACGTCCTGTCCTAGCACCAGGCAGAGGGAAGAGACTCAGGAAGAGACTCAAATCTTCCCTCCACCAGCAAAAGCAGGAATTCCAGTGGTATCCACACACACAGTTTATACACTGTCTGAACAATTTCCATTCCACCTGAGATAGGTGCTCTGTCTGCTTTTGTTCATTAATATCAGAATGTTTCCCTGGTGAGAGTGTGACAGGAACAGTGAATAACCACTGATGTCAAGGCTCATCACATCCCCTCTGAAACAAGAACAGTCCCCTACAGACAAGTTCTCAAGTGCAACCAATAGTTCTGTGCTCTGATTTATTTAGAGGCTTTGCTGGGATACTCTTAAAAGTCATTT